CCACGCTCAGCCCCGCCCCCGGCCCCGCGCCCAGGGCCACACTGGGCTCACCAGGGGAGGGTGTAGCCCCGGGGGGGGTTCCGAGGTGGGGCCAAAACTGCATTTTCGCAGTTAGGCCCAGGGGGTGCAGGCTTCCGCTGCGCACCCCCCAGTGTTTTTCGATCTTTTTTTTTTTTCTCCTTCTGGGAGGTCCGGAGTAGGGGCCAGGGGTGCCCACCCCCGGACCCCTGCAGCCCCGTCGAGGACCTGGGGCCGGAGCTCGACAACCCTGGCTTTCAGAGCATGGACAAAGGGAAAGGAAAAAGGAAATCTACGTTATGATCTATAGTGAGTTACTAAAGCGAGTGAGAGAAAACCCTGATAGTGAACCACAGTATCGAACCACGAACGGCCTACCATGATTTGAGAAGACTAATGTCGATGACAGACTTTGCGTCCCCAATAACGAGGAGATCTGTAGCTTAATCTTAGGGGAATGCCATTATACAGAAGGACACTTTGGTTGGCAAAAGACTTTGGCCAACCTTACAATGTCATATACATGGCCTGGCGTGAAGTGCAAGGAAAATGAGCGACAGCGAACTTCAGAAATCAAACAGCATCATACACATGAGACCAGATAGTCGTGACCTCGAACCGATAGCAGAATTGCATCACGAGTTCCACCAAATAAGAGCACAGCAAAAGCTCATAATTGACAATGCTGGAATAGTCTCATCATCATCAACGAAGAACCAATGTCGATATCCTATCTGGCGCTCGGCGCCCAGACTACAGGCATCTACAATGCCGCTGGTGACGTCAACAGCTCCCCGAAGTACGAGCAGATCTCGGCCAATGTCGTTCGCCTCAAGCACCAGGTATGTCTCTCGTATCACTCACAACCTCAATCCCCAACTCACAGATGCCATACGAACCCAAGAACCACCATGCGCCCCATCCAGCATACAGCAGCGCAGCTCGGCTATGGCTTCCTGCTCCTTCCAGCTCGCCCGTGAGTGCGTGAGCGCTGGCCAGCGTTAGCGCAGCATGCAGCCAGTGCCCGAATGCCGAATGCGTGGGCAGGCACTTTCCTAAATGGAAGTGGCCTGCCTGCTTGCGTGCAGCCTGGCTGCGATGGGCCCCTGCCCAGAAGCTTCTGGTAGGCCAGAGAGGCTGAGCCCCAGTCCAAACGAATCAGGCCCTGGGCCTGCGGTGGTTGCCCATGTCCAACTGCCCGCGGCCTGTGTTCGGTCCATGTTGCAAATCTGGCCCAGGGCCTGCCTCAATTACATTCGAAAGCGGCAGCCTGGGCCTGGGCGCTCTCAACCAACTGGCGCTGCGCAACTGCCTGAATTTCCCCAGTTGCGTGGTGACCCCAAAATGGCCTGTAGGCCTTGGTCGAGCCTGCCTTCACTTAGGGCGGCCGACTGTGTTGAAAATAAGGCCCTGTAGGGCATATCGAGGCCTTGTGCCTCGCAGAAGACAAACTGCATAGAATATGTCAGCGGTTGTAAAGTTTGCCAGCGCAATAAGACAACGACAGAAGCACCACTAGGTCTCCTCAGACCCTTGCCAATCCCCCCAGGACCCAGAGAGTCTGGACACTGGTGTCAGGAGTAGGCATGGCAAAAGCCAAGTCATCGTCATAGTAGATCGGTTTAGCAAATACACATTTTTTGTACCACTACCCATAGAGGCTAGGACAAATTTATTGATATCGAAGTTTTTTTATTTCTGGGTAAGCGAGCATGGAGTACCTCTGTCAATAGTCAGTGACCGGGACACGCAGTTCACTAGTCAGAACTGGCAGGATCTTATCAAAGTCTACGACAGTAAGTTGTTAATGTCGTCAGGTCGTCATCCACAGACGAACGGCCAGACAGAGCAAATGAATAAGATCTTGCAACAACTGGTCAAAATGTACATTAGACCCTATCAAGTAAACTGCGATGAGATGCTTTCCAAGGTTGCAAGCGCATGTAACAATAGTGTTAATCTAGCTACCTGTTGAACTCCCAATGAGCTGCACAAGTCCTTTAGACCACATAGATCGTTTGAAGCACTAAACTGGGACCAGATTCAGAGGTTGCCTCCCGGTACCTGGGAGTCTCAGAGTGAAACTGCCAAGAATCTGTGGTTCGCCCTTGGAGCAAGCTTGTGGTCACAGCTATCATGGCCATAGGATTCGCTGCGACGAATATTGATGAGCTTTGGATATAGTGACACTGATGTGCTCGACGTCTGGAGATCCCATTGAAGAGTTTTGCAATAATGACACTGGGACTTCCTTGCATGTATATGACCATACCTAGGACCGGATATGATCCAGGAATAGATCTTGCGGGGGAGTGTCACAGTGCCTTAAAGTTTGTGAATAATGTAATGCATTGAAGTTGGGGACCGGCCAAAGGAGTCTTACTGACAGGCGAGAATGAAGCGATCAGCAATGTGTTAACCATACAAACGGTACAACCAGGTAATATCTCAATCATCTGCATGCACAAGCACTCAGCAGCTTTCTTATCCTCTTGCAGAAGGTGCAGGTCCTTTTCCGCTGCCTCTTCCTTTTCCTCCTTACTCTGCAAGCCTCCGGTCATTCTTTACCTGTTGACCCAAATTCCTTGTTGCTTACACCAGACTTGCCTTTATCACCCTTCGATCCCCCAGCACGACCCATGTCAGAGGACACTGGATGCCTCTATTTGACAGCAAAGTGGCCTTGGATGGGGTTGTCGTGAGTCTCAGTCTGTGCGACTTATTTGGGTTTGTAGACACCCACTGTTCAGGAGTGCCCACTGCCCACCACAAAGGCTGCCCAGTAGCAGGTATCTCCAAGCTTCACTTTCTTCCTCCTTCACCTCCAAGATGCCATGAAAAATCACCAAGTGGAGCGACAACTGAGCTCGTGGACAGAATTTGCCTTACCTGTTGTCCTCCCAGCTAGTGTTTGACTCACCAAGCCACAGAGATTTGCCAAGACTGAATGCCGTCTGGAGGAGGGTGGGGGGCAGCCAAGGAGGAGGATCAGGAAGGAGGGGGATGTTCCTTGGTGCGTGTGGATCTGGTTGTCGATTGGACTCTGGAAAATTCGCTGGATTACGTGTCTCCCCCACAATAGTCCCTGAGATCCTCTGGGACCTTACATTCGGGTCGTAGCGGGGGCATCAAGGACCAGGACTTTGAACTTGAGCTGGCTGCCATTGCGGACTCAACCAAGCAGACGAAGGGACGATAGAGCTCACGTGAACCTATTTCTCTGGACAGAGACAGAGTTCCACAGGAGGATTAGGAAGGAGGAAGGTGTTCCTGAGTGTGCTTGGATCTGGTTGTCGATTGTACTCTTGAAAAGTCCGTTGCTGGATTACGTTTCTCCCCTACAACAGTCCCTGAGCTCCCCTGGGACATTACATTCGGGTCATAGCAGGGCCATTGTGGCAGAAGGACCAGGACTTCAAACTTGAGCTGGTGGCCATTGCGGGCTCGACCAACCAGACGAAGGACGATACAGCTCACACAAATCCATGTCTCTGGACTGGGATGGAGTTCCACACTATGGCGAATGACAATGAAAGTGCTGTAGCTCTTGATGCCGTCCAAGCAATGGTGGAAGTCAGACTGTGCATAGCGAAAGGGGGGGAAATGGGGTTCTCCCTGCTGTTGGAATCGTGGAAAGAGCGTTTCGAGCCTGACAATGTGGGGACGGCAGGTCCCCTTCGGTTGCATTGTTTCTTGCAGGGCTGTGGACAGGGGTGTTTCACCCGAGTCCAATGGAGGAGCGAACAGTGTTTCCAACCCTTCGATCCCTGGAGCTGATTCTAGAGCCATCAATCGTGTTCGCCAAGGAAGTTGGAGCATTTTGTGAGTGCTTCGTTGAGAGGTACGAGCACCCTTTCAGACCCTCCTCGCGTAGACTGAATGCGCTACGATTTCTTCTAGACGCCACCAAGGATGTTCAGGACAATAATTATTATTACCTTCCTATTCGAGCTGTGGCTCTCCTCGACCTATACTTCCTCTATGGGAATTGTAACCCCAATCAGGAAACCAAACATGACAAGCAAATGCTGGACGATTTCTACGCTGTCGTTGGACCAGATCGCAGCGACATCGCGAGTAGCAGCAGCAGCGCCGACACAATTAGCATCCTAAATGGTTTTCAAATGGAATCGCTCCAGATTTGGGAACATCTCTCATCTCCAGATGATCTCCGGCATATGAAGCCGCTCTCGTCGAACGAGACCGAGGGTACAGGCAAAGCATCAGGATCATACTCCCTGTTTCACAAACGGATGCAATTCTTTTGCACAGCCATGGAGCTGTCATGTTCTCACCTTGGCGTAACCAAAGGTGACTCTACCAAGTCCTTGGACTACATAGTGCGGCACGTTAACAGATATAGTAAGGTCATGAGGCTGGGTTTCATGGAGTTGACGTTCTTCGCCTTGTACCAAGTCATGCACATTTTCTACTTTGCCATCCTTCCGGTGGATGAATCGAAGACGAGTTTTGTTGTCGAGGGGTTTATGTTGGTAGTGCTGTTTTGTTTGATCAGCAAGAGGTACGACCGATTGTGTTTGGAAATATACGAAGCGTTCAGATAGGGAAGTAGTCGCAAAAATTTGCTCATGATGGAGCGTCTTCTCCAGTACGACAAGCCATCCTTGAGGCTGGCCAGGGAATCGGCTGCGGCCAGGGAAGGATGCATAGAGGCTCAACTGACTGAGCTGCAGGTGATCTGCGACGTTGGACTAAACCTTTATCACGACCTCAACCAAGTGGCATGGCCAAAGCAAATGCTGCAAAAGGCAATCAATAAACACAATTCAATAATCAGCGAGTTTGGGAGGCATTGGGCATGGTACCCTCGCGAAATCACCGGCCCGATGTGGGCTGACAATCTAGAGGTACTTAGCGCCAAGTTTATCTTTCATGAGAGATATGCCGACGCTCTGCAGCTTTGTGTGGGATGCAAAAGGGAGCTTTTGGAATCAGAGATGCTGACAGCAGAGGCAGAAACACGTCTTCTGCTTATGGAAACGATGCTAGGGAACGGAAGAGACCGTCCTCCAGGTGCGGGTGACCCTGAGGAACTCATTGAAAGGGCCAAGCAGAAGGTGTCAGAGATGGACGCTGCAGGATTTGTTGGTAATGCTGAGCCTGTCATTCTCAGAAACCGACTTTTTCTTCTGGAAGCGGAGAAGCTTCATGACAACGAAAAGAATTTGAAGGCTTGCGAATGGTTGGTGGCGCTTGCTGAGCACGTGGGGCGCTACAAACTCCTTATCCCTGTTGCCAACATGCACCTGGACATGGGAGACGAGCAAGGGGCCATGGAGTGGACAACCAAAGCACTGGTTGGCTTTAAGGACCTGCAGAGAGCAATTGGTGATTCCTCTGAAACCTGGATCGTCATGCATGGACGTTGGGAAGCATGCGCCTTCTGGAAAGTGCAACTTGATTGCCTCAAACGTGGAGAAGCGCGTGAAGCGATTGTCTGGAGTGAGTGGTCACATCACATGTTTTTCTCATCTGTGCTGATGAGAGAAGAGTCAGTTGGTCCTGCTGCTGATGCAGGTCCCTCTGCTACCTCTGGCCTTGTTTCTTTTTTATTTCTTCTGCTGCGCCTCCTGCTACAGCTCCTGGTCTTTCTGATGCTCCAGCTACAGCTCCTGGTTCTGCTGATGCTCGGGCTACAGCTCGTGCTGCTGCTCCTGGTACAGCTCCAGGCTCTGCTGAGGCTCCTGCTACATCTCCTGGTCCTGCTGATGCACCTTCTACAGCTCCTGGTCCTGCTGATACTCCCACTACTTCTACCGGTACTGCTACTGCTACTGCTACTGCTACTGCTACTGCTACTGCTGCTGCTGCTGCTGCTGTCGCTGCTGCTGCTGCTGCTGCTGCTGCTGCTGCTGATGATGATGATGATGATGATGATCATGATGCTCCCGTTCCTGGCGCCACTGCTGGTCATGCTGCTGCATCTGTTGCTTCTCCTCGTGCTGCTGCTGCTCATGATCTTGCAGCTTCTGCTTCTGTTACCTATGCTAATCCTGGTTGTCCTGCTGTACCTGGGCCTGCTGATGCTTCTGACAGAGATCTTCTTGGTCCCACTGCTGCTGCTGGTCCTGCTGCTGTTTCTGGTACGTCTGCTGGCTGTGACGTCTGTGCTAAGAACGAGAATGACAGCACCAGCAGTGATGGCGCGGTCTGGCATTGAGGAAGAAGAAGCCCCGAAGAAACGGAGGAAGACAGCCACGCTTTTCGATCAATTTGACACTGACAAGGCTGTTGCCAGGGAAATGATAGAGAAAGGTCGCCAAGTCTGTGGACCTGGGACTGCTATAGTTGAATACCATTTCTTCTCGGATGGCGAGGGTAAGCATGAGTACCTTCTGACTTACCTGCTGCGACCCATGGACAGACCCATGAACTGCGGTCTGCAGCGCTTCGAAGAATGGAATGGTGTGAGAAGGCAATTGATATTGCTGAACGAACTGCTTACCTCAGATTCTGCGGAGGTTGGTCACTGTGTGTCAGATGCTGATGAGTCACAACGTCCCAGGACTTCAAGTTTCAAAGCTGCCCATCTGGTTCACTGCAATCACTCCACCTCACCCTCACAAGAGCCGCTGCAGAAGCAGGAATGGCATCAACAACAGCAGGAGGAGCAGGAGCTGCAGCAGGACGAGGACCCAAAGACACACCCACCGCTGAAGACCGGCTCATCGACTTTGGCTTCGACTTCCTTCCGAAGCACAATGGTGATCACAGCAACGACAACAGCAAAAGATGGTCAGAGCAGTTCTGGAGAGGCTGTATGAAATTCTGATTGAACCGCTAGAAGAGGACCTTGAAGAGCTTTCCCCGGAGGACAAGCTGGTGTTTGTCCCACACGATGTTCTTTGGGGTGTGCCATGGGCGCTGCTGGGGGATCCAAACAGGTGTTCACTATCAGAAAAGCCATATTTGATAGAGCGTCACACTGTGGCAGTGGTGCCGGGGATTCACCTTATCCCATTTCTCAAGAAACGAAGTGACGATCTTCTCGCCATGATGATGTCCCCTGAACGCGAAAGTGCCAAATCTCAGGCTGAAGCTATAGCTGAAGACAATGCTAAAGAGGAAGCCAAAGCTGTGTCAGACAGTGACAGGGCTGCTGAAGGCGGAGCCGACACTGAGGAAGCTATCAGAGATGGCAAGGTCGGAGGACAAAGTACATGGAAATCTCTCATTATGCGGGACCCTTTTCCTGCTGCCTTCGGTATGGAAGGACTTGTCTACGCCGGCAAAGAAGCTCAGAAGATCTATGACATGATGGCGTCTGGAACAGTGACTCTTCTGATGGGAGCAGAAGCCACAAAAGCACGAGTAGTTCACGAGATTGGACAGGGTGTTCTGTTGGCTCACGTTGCTGCCCACATGCTCGTTGGTTCTATGTCTGAGATAAAGAGGGACATAGACTCGGCAGGCATGGGTATGCTGGTTCTCACATGTCCTGCTCATACTGATGATTCACCTGTGGACAGTGTGACTGGCGGTGAGGAAAACCGGACTCAGTCTGAGGGTTTATCAATCTCGGACCCCTTTGCACTTGAGGAATCTGACATGGATGCTGACTGTGATCGGTATGATCCAGGAGGACTGTCGGGGGAGGAGGTTTTAAGGATGTTCAGCAATGACGTGAAGGCACTGCTGGTGGTGTTAAGCTGCTGCAGCTCTTCCAAAGGGCTCCCAACAACTGAGGGGCTCTCAGCTATGCCAGGGCCTTCTACAGCTCCCGAGTGCCCGGCGTAGTGTCATCGCTATGGCCAGTAAATGACAAAGCAATGTCGGCACTCATGCCCACTTTTTACAAGGGCCTTCAAGATGGCAGCGATGTCTCCGCCTCACTTCGAATCGCAATGCTAAGCCTTCTCTATGCAGGGTGGGCACCAGTGATGGACGAACATGTGATGCTCCCTCCAGATGCCGATCACCACATCCCACCTTTATCCTCAGAATGGACTACCACTCCTCATATGAGTCCAAAATACGGTGTGTGTGAGCAGGAGGAGCAGTTTGGGAGCGAAGAGCAGCATCAGAGGGGCTCCTCCTGCGGGTTCGAGGACCAGGACAAGCATCGTGTGGAGACAAATGAGCAACAGACTGAGTGTATGCGCTATGACAGTCCTGTGCAGAAGGTAACTAGAGAGGATGCGAAATCCACAGAGATGGCACATGAGAAGACTGCCTTCAAGTTGGAACACAGTGATGAGACATGGAGTCATGTCTACAGGGGTTACGAGGTGTTGACATCAGCAGCATTCCCAGGCAGGGAAGCTTCCAGGAAGAGCCGTGATCCTGCCACATCTACACGAGTCGCCCTCATGAGAGACGATGGAGATCATGCTTCCCGGCAAGTGCGGAGCAGCAGCGGGTTCAACGACGCTGGGAAGGTCACCATGCCATCGACACAAACATCAGCCCATCATCTCAAAACAGGTGTCGAAGAGTCTGATTGGCCTCTGATAGATGTGGAGACACCGGAGAGTCTGACTTGTTCCGTGCTCGCAGAGGAAGTGTCACTCGTTAGGGAGCATATTAGGAGATGCAACCACAAACACAGCTGGACAAAAAGCTGTGAAGACTGCGAATCAGCTCAGTGGGCCATCGATACTATTGTGAACTTGTTCACTGGGCCTCGTATTGAAAAAACCTTGATATATTTGCATCGGAGTATGGCAGAATTGGTTTCATGCTTGGAGAGGTTGGAGGAGAATCAGACGGAACATCCTGCACCCTCCTCAGAGATACCAATAGGAGCATCGGCAGCGACGGAACGAGATGAAAGTGGGAGAGCCATGACGGAAGATGAAGATGGGAGGAAACCTATGGCGCATGATGAACATGGGAGACATAGCAGCCACAGTGCCAGCCCCCATAACGGAGGGAGGAGGGACACTGATCATCAGAGAATAACGTTGAGGGAGGCCAGCATGATTTTCAAAGAGCTAAACTCCTGATTTGTCGGACAGCGATTTCACCGATCCGTGCCACAGCGATGATGTGGCATACTGGGTAGCCACACGGGCCCTGTAGGACCCGTCCCGGACATTCAGCCTAAAAGCCTAAAACTTAGGATCTACAGGCCCCGGTCGTTCAGCCTGAAAACTGAAAAACGAGGGTCTGCAGGCCCTACTCCGTTTCAGCCTATTTCTGGGTCTTTCAGACCCAGAGTTTTTCCAGCCTGAAACGGAGGGCTATTCTTAGGCCCTGGGCTATTTTTAGGCCCTCATTTGTTTCGACCTGCCCTAAGATTCAGGCACGAAAACTGGGTTTCGGAAC